TTCAGCTGCCAACAAAGTCCCACAACCATTTTTCCCCAGTCAAAATATTAATTTTAATATCATTCAGAGTTTATACATCAAAATGTCTCAAAAAATGTATGAGGGAAAAAAATCATAAAGGCTTTACTTGTTTAAAAAACAGAATTTTAGACTGAGAGTTACAGAATAAATATTGGATTTAAGCCCCCCTAAATTCACAGTCATTCCTAAGTTTCACCATCTTCCCCACTGTGTTTTTTAGAAAGTCTCCATCTTTTTATTTCAGTTGTCCCAGGCCCTGTTAAACTATAACCATAAAATATGAGTTTTACAATACCCTGTGTTTTGTAAACCTTGAAGTAACTTTTGAAAAGCCAAAAAATAAAATTAAAAATAAAACCAAAGACACTGTGGTTAAACAACAAGGCCAAGTGACTGTTAGAGGTATGAAATTACCATGCAAAAAGTTGAAGCCATGCCCAAACAAGCTCAGAACGACCACCTTTGGCACATTCAACATAAAAACATGATAAAAATAGCCAAAAATATTTAAGAAACAACTTGCTATAAGCCTTAAGAACTAATACCAAATCCCTCCTGAACAGGCAAAAGCAGGAAGCCTCCCAGCAACCACAGGGCCAACAGAAGGTCCAAGATGTCTTCAAATAATACACAACCATTGAAAGAAAGCTACAGGAACTTGGAATTACTTTTAAGTACTTGTGTGGCAACATTTTCCCCCAGCCTGCTTTTTTTCTTCTAATAAGGCAGGTACTGAAAGGCGTTGAAGCTTCAATTGGAGGGTTTTAGAACAAAATGAATAAAAATTCAAGAATAAAGCCTATTGTGTTAGAACTGTAGCATTTAAACAAAAACTTTTACTTTTCCAAAGAAGTTTCTACAAAGGTAACCACAGAATAAAACTATTCCCAGCAAAATTTAAATATCTGGTCTTCTGAGAACAGAATGAAATAAGCAGTTTCTAGAAGTCACCGTGACCTATTAGAACAACTGTATCTCCAATTTATAAAGTCCCAATATCACAAATTGCCAGAAGCCTCGCTAATGCAGTGGAGGTGCTTTTCCCAGTCCTGTACATTTCCCTGGAGAACTGCAAAAACTGGAGACAAGCCATCAAACTGTCTGGAGCTCTGGTTCAACCCAATGTGTCCATTCCATGTGGATTTCAATGTCCCAGAGCTTGTACTCTGCCTATTTTGAATTATTATTCCAAACTCTCCTTCCCCCAACCTGTACAGTCTCTAGTTGATCATCACTTCCAAGACCCAAAGACACAAACAATTTCTTAAGTATAGAATGAAAAGAGTTTACAAAACCTGACCTTTCAAAATTGCTTGTATGCAACTGATGCCTAAGAATATCCTTTTTCCTGACTGAATAAAGAACCTGATACAACAAACTCTCAAGGCTTAAATTTCTATTCTCAGCGACCACTAAAAAGAAGTTTAAAAGTGTAAATGAGCACAAAAAGAAACCTTTTACTTCCCAAACAATTATTCAGATAAAATTATTTGGTCTGACATATATTAATACCAAATAATTTTGAGGATAGTTTTGATAAAGCTTTAGGGGAATTAAGAGTTTAACTTCTTATTCAAGATTTTTTTTTTTAAATTCCAAATGTGATTTGATGAGTCAGCTATTCTCTGAAGTCATGTAACAATAAACATTAAACATTACTCAATACCCACAGCAACCACAGTCTAATTTTATTCTTTTTTTCCTTCTCCCACAAAACAGAAAAAAAACTCCCTGTAGAAACTATTAGATTTGTGCCAAATTTATGACTCAAAGACAAATTAAAATAAATAGACATGTGAAATTAAAACAATAAAATGTTATATTGTGAAAACCACAAAAATTTAAACTGATTGTAGACTTTTTTTACATACATATTTTAAATACATTTACATACAGGTGTAAACGTCTGAACATAAAATGGAATATGAAATTACTGTGCGCGTACACAGTTTTTATTTATACATAACATGCAAGCTGCATTTGTTTCTGATTTTTAAAAAATGAATGTCCACACAAAACCCATTTGGAAACCTGCAAGGGGGATACAAACACCATTACAAATACAGTTTAGTCTGGGTCTAGTTACATCAAGGGACAGTGGTGATATTCTATGAAGAAGTACTATCCATCTTGGAGCTTTCTAAATCAAGGCATCTCCATGAGTTCAGACAGTATATTTATTTCTAAGTATTTTACAATGATGTATCTTAATGCATTATTCTCTTCTTTGGCCATGGCAGTTTCACCTGAATATTTACAGATGTTTATGCCCCCATTCCCATCTCCCCGATCCAGTCAAGCTGTAAGTTTCATTCTTTCAACTTGTCCTACAACTTAGTTTTCCATCCCTTTGCTCCTTTAATTAAATTCATGGTTCACATCATTGGATGTTCATATTTTAAACAAGAGTCAGGCAGCAATATATTTTAGAACTGCACTAAACATAAAGTACATTATAAAATAAAACATTACGAGCTTCTGAAATGGAAAAAAGAATGGTATTGATTACAGAAGAGTTCTCACTTCCTGTAAACATTTCTATCTCCCTTTCTCTCACAGACATACACACACTTACTTTAAAGGAAAAGCAGAAACAAGAGTTTAATTAAACACCACTAGTCTGAATTTCAAACCCGTGAATGAACAGATGGCCACGCTTCACAGCCTACCAGCAGGCCACTCCAATTAACTGGGACTGGGATCAGGGTAATGTCATGGAAGCTAGAAGTTTTGAACCAAACAAATATCCATCTTTGTGTGTTTATGACAGTTCTAAGTAGCATAACAATGAAGTATTTAGCACTATACAAAAGTGGAACCAGCAAAAAGAAGGCTTCTATTTCAGGCCATCATTAAATTTAGTCATCTCCTGTGAGTGCACCAGGATGCTTGTCAGTACTCACAGAGACTTTAAATTCAGCTGACTTTGCAAACAACAGCTTTAAAGAACTAAATAAAGTTGTCCACTTCCATTTTTCCACAATCTCTAATATTGGACTTGTGCTCACTTATTAATATGGTCCCAAATATTTAAATATATTTGGTTACATCAGTAAGCATTGATTAAACCAAAATCAATACAGTGTCTCTTGAGTAAAAATGTCTTCTGACCCTCCTGTGTTCAGGAGAACCATCCCCTGAGAAGGTACCAAAAAGGACATCTCCTTTTACTGACATTAAACTTAAGGGTGAACATCTAAATAAATTTTCAACATTGCAAGACAGATGTGAATACAAGGGAAATAAAAGCAAGACAGGATATTCCTGATGCTCCTCAGCTTCTATCAAATTTTAATTCTGCAGCCTGTCAGTTTGCTCTCCCCACTGCTTTTGTAGCAGGACTCTAACTCTGCACTGCCCATGGGATAAAGATGACATTACCCAAATCTGAACTCTGCAGATTTTCTTCATCTTTTCCTGTGCTGAATGCTGGTAACTCTGACCACTGAGCAGTGGGCAATACCATAAATTTTGCAACCTGACAAAAGCACTTATGAAAATGTGTTACAAGTAGTTTTTCTGATTGAGGCAGTTCATACAACTAGGGGGAAGAAAAAAAAAAAAGTAAAAGCATCTCCTAGATAATTTCACCTTAAGACTTTTGTGTTCTGCAAGGCATCAAATGAACACAATACTTTTGTGTGTCCAGGATCCTGAGCCTTCCAAAGAGAACAGAAGCTCTCCTAATTCTTACACCACTTCCACAATTGCTGAATAAATATTTTCTGATACACTTACTCCAGTTTTGATTTTGCTTCTTCCCTTTCCTTTCAGAAGGAAAAGAGAGATGAAGGAAAATTCACTTAAATACTCTTCTGAAATGCTAATTAAATATTTTTTGAGGAAAATACACTGCATGTAGCATTTTTATATCCAAAGGACCCTCTGATTATCTTAGTCCTTTATACAAGGCTTCCATTCCCAGAAGTATTCTGCATTTAATACAATACTGGGCTAATAAGCACTTCTTCTTACTAGGAGGTTAAGAGACGGGTTCCTTAATACTTAACAAATACAGCATGTCCTTTCAGTGCAATACAAAACAGGATAAAAATTCCCATGGTTGCTAATTAAGTAAAA